ACTGCTGCATGCAAAATCTTTCATGACTATGCTCTAAGATTTGGCTTTCCAGCACGAGCGCATCATGATCAAGGTGCTGAATTTGAAAATTAGCTGTATGTGCAACTGAAAAACTACTGTGGAGCTGCTGAGTCCAGGACTACTTATGAGTGCCTTCGTCTCCTCCGTGCTGATGTTGGATGCTGGGGTTTTGCATTGCTGGGACAGGCCATCAAAGAAGTGGAAAAGAGGGCTTTGTTATCCTACCCTGGAACACCACCAAGTCATTGGTTTAGGTATGTGGATGACACCTGGGTGAAAATCAAGTCTCAGGACTTACCAAAATTCACAGATCAAATTATCTCTGTGGACCAACACATCAAATTCACCAGAGAGGATATGAAAAGTGACAGGTTAGCATTCTTAGACTGTGAGATTTCCATCAGTAATGGGGGACATCTAAAAGGTGATGTGTACCATAAACCTACGCATACGTATTTAAGGTTTGACTCTCATCATCTACTGGAGCATAGATTGAGTGTCATGAGGATGCTACAACACAGAGCGAACACCATCCCCACAGACACAGCAGCCAGGGAATCAGAAGAACATCACATTAAGAAGGCCCTGATTTAATGTGGTTATCCCAGCCGGACATTTGTTGAAGCTGGGAAGATTCAAGATTGTTTATTTGACACCTAAAGACACTTAAAGAAAGCTCCAGTCGATCCAGGAGAGAAGGACAACTGCTGCCTAAACAAAAACCTAGTAATCCCGTATGTGTCAAGAGTATCGGAACAGTTGAGACGCATTTTTTCTAAACACTGCATTTCTGTGGCTTTTAAACCCCAAAACACGTTGCACCAAAAATTGGTCCACCGCAAGGATCGGGTCCCCCGACACAAATAGAGTAATATAGTGTACACTGTTAAGTGCCAGGAGGACTGCCATACATTAGGTAAACCAAACAACCTCTGGCAAAGTGGACGGCAGAACACAGAACAGCCAACTCGTCAGGCTAGGACTCAGTCAATTTACACCTACGGTGGACACTCTTTCAGCAATAAGAATGTACAGATCCTGTACAGGGAGGAACGTTGGTTTGAGAAGGGAGTCAAAGAGGCCATTTACGTGAAAAGGGAAAGACCATCTCTGAATCAAGGAGGGGGCCTAAGGGTACATCTGTCACCATCTTACAATGCTGTGATTGCAGCCATTCCCCAACTCTCTGTATATGGTACTCATGGCCATTGATCAGTGGTCTTTGATCAGTGGTTGTTGATGTCATAAGAATTTGCATATTAATGATCAAGGAACTCAATTCCAAGCCCATTGTTCCTTCAGTGGTGCTAGTTATTATGCAAAGTCAGTCATTATGCAAATGTACTGTTTATAAGGTTTGGGAAACTTGCAGTCAGCGGAGACTGAGGAAGTCACTTGGACGAGTGACGAAACGTTCCACTGAAAATACTGCATCCAGATGAAGAGACTCAACTTTTGGTGAGTGCTCAGACTAGAAAATATAGGAACCAGTCCATTTGATAACTGTGGCCATAGAGACAAACTGCTGAAAAACTAAATGCAACTGCAGACAATGAATACCTTCTTCTTGAGAAGATTTCATTGTGCATTCATACTTCAGTGTTAAATCTGCATCATTTGTACATCACAACCACAAACCCCTCTGAAATAGCCTACTGCATATCCCAACGGACACCTCCCTGGAAAGGTAACATGTCACACTGATCCAGTGGCAACTATTGGGATCGGCCTGTTCAGTCCCTTCAAACCCTCATATGCATTTCCACTTACTTTTTTTACACAGTCCATTTTGCTTCAGAAGGTTCCTAACTGAGAGAAAGGTGAGCCAGAGGTATCTGTGTGGTAGCAATAAAAAGAGCTGTTTCACTATCTCTATTCTTTAAATACAAAATAAAGGAGCTTCAGTGCTTCCATTAGCATAGGAAACACTGGAGCATCATTTATGAAAGAGGAGGAGAAAACGCTGTCCCATAAATTATTGTAATGGATCACTGGCATACAAACAATCTGTATAATAAAATTGCACAGATCATGGAATTTCCTCCCCCTAATCCTTAACAAGGAGGAGGACATGAGATGAGAAATGACTTTGGTTCACAAGAGTAAAATATAAGAAAATAAGATTGATTTAATTTTTATGTGCTATGGGATAGATTTACTAAATTCAAATCATTGTGATGTTGCAGTTGCTTGGTGACCTATCAGCAATGTACTTTAATTTAATTTATATAGAAAGATACAGCTTGTTCACTGCAGTAAAAAACAACATTATGCGACTACTGGATCAATAATCCAGCCTGAAAACATCACTGCAATTCAGATAAATGACAGGAAGCCAAAGGAGAATCTATATACTTTTGATATAACCAAAAACTCTTCTGATAAGACTGAGGTGTTATATTTTCAGAGGACTGCACAAGAGAACTTCTGTACAAGTTGCAAACCTTTTTCCATACAAAGTAAACAAAAAGCAACAATTGCTGTACATCATATAGGTTATGTGGGAGTCTCTACAGAGTCCCTGCAGAAGCCTAAATCAGCTCTTAGTCTACAGCTGTTAGGGTATACCCTACACTGTTAAAGGCCAAACTTCAATGAGATTCCATTTAAAATGTGTTCAGGAGGATGTTGGTTTTCCTTTATGAACTAATGCCCTATGTTCTGTCTAGGTTCCACCTCCTCTGTCCTGATTGGATGCTGCTCACAGAATCCACCTAATTGCCAATCAGCAGAGCACTACTTAATGCCTGTGGAGCTGTTTTTCTGGGCCCCCTGGCCATTTTGATTGCTGTACCTGTGCAGGATTGCATGCCTTTTTGACTTGTATGTGCATTTTGTGTTTCTGAGTTCAGACTGCTTGTAGGGGAGAGCTGCCTTTTGTTTTGATTCCCTGTTTCCTCCTGTTTATGTGATGTTAGGTATCGCCAGTGTGTGAATGTGTGTGTGAATGGGTGAATGACTGAATGTAGTGTAAAGCGCTTTGGGGTCCTATGGACTAGAAAAGCGCTATACAAATGCAGGCCATTTACCATAGGTTTGTAACAGAGGACAAGGTACGAGTAAAAGGGGCAAGGAAATAAATTGATAATTTATTTATTACATTAATTAAACATACAATTTCCCAGTTATTTTCAGACAGAACTTAAAACACGTCCTGCTGATATCCCAGCAGCACATGAGACTTACCACACAAACAGTGCAAAAAATAACAACACTGCAAACTGTCACACCCCGTTTAGCGACACTGCAATCGATTTATCTGTGGCACGCACTGCAAACAATTCAGGTCTCAGCACAGCTGGGAATGCATGACCTGCAATCTGGGATATAAAGAGAAGTGGCACAAACAAAAAACAAAAAGGGAGGTTAGTCCACCCTTACACAACTCACTCCCAACCAACAACCCCCTTTACAGCTGGACGGACTAACCAAAACAAAATTACAAATCAATCAAAAGGACGAAAAAGGACAGCAGAGACAGCACAGAATATTGATCAGTTTCCCTGCACGCAGTCAATCTAGGGCTTGATCAATTCTTCTATTAAAACTCGTAGTCACACGACAATATACCCACTCGCACCCGAGTGAATTAATCACCTGTTTTTTTCCACAGAAGAGCACTGACCTCACCCCACACACTCACTACCTTTTCAAAGCTCTTCAGCCAATCACCTGGCAGAGAGCAACAAACTGCCAGGTGGCACTTGTTACAGGTTGTATATTTTGTTTTCTTTGTGTTAGGTAAGTTCCTTTTATTTTCATATCAGGGATGTTTTGTTTGCTATGTTGGTCTCACCTCTCCCTGAAGTTAACCCTCAGTCTGAACTAGAACTGAATTAGAATTTCTAGCAAGAAATAAACCTTTTAACTTACCATCTTGGCTCTTCCTTCACTATTTACCTTTATGTTGGTCCCTTCTAACCCCTAGACTAGCCTGGGGACGTAACAAATGAGAGAGCGAAAAGCAGTAGTGTTTACCATCATCTTCCATATTTTAACATTTAATAATAAAACTGATGTCATTCCACTGTTCAATCCATTCATCATTTTGCTGGTCCTTTTGTGTTTTTACTTGATATAGCAGAGGTGGTTGTTGACAGATGGAGCACAGTACATCTGCTGACAGCACTGAAAAACTGGAGCTTCGGTATTACTGAATTTGTTAAATATGCTGAATGAATACACAACATAATGACTCGTGTTCCTCACTTAGGCTACTATTTAAGATGAATGGCTAATTAAAGCATTTTAAAATTATGTTAATTACTCGAGTATCAAAGGCTGCTATCCTGGGCCCGTATCCCTAAAGATTCTGAGAATCCTCTCAGAGAGCTCCTAACTTAACCTAAAAATTCCTTGCCAGGAGCTTTAGCTTAGAAGTGATTCCAGAACATTTTCAGTGAACTCTGAGCAAGGAATGGATGGAAAATCTTATCTTAGTGAGGAGGTGTGGTTGACCCCGTTGCTAGGTATGAGTCATCATTTCAAAAGCCGTGATTGGTTGATCCTACAAGTTTGATGGAAATGAGTTTTTGGTGATAATGAGCAAAGGATGTACCCTCAAATCAATAAACATAATTATACACTCTAATCTTACGCTGACTGTAATTGTGAATAATATTTCACATTCAAGAAAATATCTGGAAAATGAATAGTAAGCTGTAGGGGTTATAGCCTAACATTAGAATCTAAAATATGTGAAAACTTAAACTCATTACACCCTGTTCAAATAATGATTCGTGTCTTATTTGCTCATATTAATATCCTAGCTGGCATATTTTGTACTTTCACTCCCATATGGACCCCATTGAAAACAAGATGGCCTATCTCAAGGGGCTGTCCTTAATGAAGTAGAAATCACAACGTTACAAGTCCAGTGTGGTCTTAACGAGGGTAACACGGCTCAGCTTTTATCAATGTCTGTGATTGCTGGCTGGTCTATTTATAAAGGCTTGTTAACAAATATATTACAAACACAGAAAATGGAGAAAAAAGGACTCGCAAGCCGAACTGGACTGAGGAGCAAGGTTTGTTGCTGGCCCAGTTGGTGAACGAACATAAAGGTATGTTACGAGGAAAATTTGGCCCAACTGTCACTAGCCAAGGCAAGAGGCGCGCCTGGGACACAATATCCCAAACAATCAATGCCTCTTTTCCACTGGTGGTGCGGACAGGCGACGATTGTGAGAAAAGGTGGTATGTGCTGCAGTCCAAGGCAAAAGATGAGATTGCAGCACACAAGCGGGAATCCTCACTCACAGGTGAGAAAAATATTATAGCCTACCACATAATCTGGCAACTTGCTCCTGCTGGCAAAGTTAATTTACATGCCTAAGTACTGTGTTCATTGACTGTTTCTTTCTAGGGGGTGGACCACCTGCAAAGCGGCTGTCCCAGGTGGCCGACACTGTCTTTCAAGTCCTGGGAGACTCTGAGGTCAGTGTCACCGGGCTGCCAACAGGCATTGACACATCAATGATGCAGGCCCTTGAAGTGCAGCAAAGGTAGGACACAGGGTTGTTCATATCTACAGTGTTTATTCATTGCAGAAGCCATTTCATGTGTTATCCATGCTCATTGTATTAAATTAATTTAATCAAAACAATAATTAAACTAGGCCTATGTATTTCTGTAGCATGGAGCCATCACAAGAACCGGGCCCATCAAGTTTGCCGATGAGATTGCCGCCTGAACCATCTGCAGCTGCTACTCAGGATAGCCCGGCGGATCAAACACCATTCCCATCCGCAGCACCTGCTCTGTCAGCATCCCTGCAGGAGAGCAGATTGCAACTCACAATTGATGTGTTTGAACAACAAAAAAAAAGTCCTTTCCCTTCAGGAGGAGTACTACCGCCTTAAAATTGAACACCTAAAAAATAAACCATTTACAGATTGTGTTCTGTGTCTTGCATTTAACAATTGCAGGTGATGTGCAGTAAAACTGTGGTAGTTCTTAATACCATCACAAGTTCTCAAAAGACATGGGGCTACAGCTTGCCTGAAATGTAAATTTGTGAAGTTTGCCCTGTAAGGCAGTCCACTCTGGGCTAGGTTCCCCTGTGGAATGTAAATATCTTCTTCACCACCATCCTCCAGAGGTTCTGCAATCTGTCTAACCTTGCAAATATTGTGTAATATTGCACAGGCTATGATGACTTTGCTGACTTTTTCAGGCCTCAGCCGCACCTCTCTGTGGAGAACATGAAAGCGCCTCTTAAGCTGGCCTATGCCACGCTCCACCACTGCTCTTGTTGTCTTGTGGGCCCGACAATAGAATACAGAGACCTTTAATTATTTGATGGAAATATTGCACTACTTGGATGCTCTAACATATTGCTTGCATTTCATTTCCATGATTTTTGTATTGTTTGGCTTACCTGTTATAGTTTAGTTGGGGCCCTTGGCGTGGCTGGAGGTAAGGTGTAAGGAGCCATGGTTTGCATGGGTAGCCACTGTCCACTAACAAGTGGTAATTAGCTGGCACATAGCGTCTCTCAAAAAGCTGTCTGATGCTACTCTCGGAGAGCATTCTCGCATCATGTGTGGAGCCTGGCCATTTAGCCACAATGTCCAAAATCTTACAGGCCGCGTTGAACACTATTTGCACATTGATGCTGTGGAAATTCCTCCTGTTAACAAAGACAGCCTCGTCCTCTGATGGTGCAATTATTCTCACATGTGTTCCATCAATTACACCCACAACGCCAGGGAATCCTGCAATGTCCATAAATGCCCTTTTATGTGTGTGTAAAGTGCGGGCATCCAGCGGGAATGAAACAAATTGTGTCACAATATTAGGTTGTGACAAAGCTGTCAGTGTTTGGGTGATGACTGCTGACGGAGGATTGGGACAGACCCAAGTCATCACTGCTGCATTGTTGCATTTTCCCGGTTGCCAAATACCTCAGGGTTGTGATTACTTTAGTCTCCGGTGTAATAGCGTTGTGGCGTCGAGTTGGTGAAGTAATTGCATCTCTAAGGAGATCCACCACAAACATGATTCCTGCACGATCCAATCTGTAGCGTCTCAATAATTCCCTGTCATCCAGTGTTTGCAGGACATCTCTCCTGCCTCTTCTGTTGGCCATTTTGTGCAGCTACTTAGGGGAACTCCTAAGCCACTAAAAGTCCTCTTCCCTGCTCTTAGCAGATCTCACCTTAGGAGCCCTTTTAAGCGCTAGGAATCTTGAGGAATAGCTTTTATATTAACTGGGATAGTCGTGTCACTTTTAGGGGAAATTCTAAGAAAACGTCATGACTCTGAGAATTTTCTTAGAATTTGGCCGCTAGGAGCCACTTTTTGCACAAAGATTCTTTAGGGATACGGGCCCTGATCTCCATCACAGAGCCATTCTTAAAGTTTGCCTTTATGAAAAAACTAGAGTGCGCTTTCTAACATTCACACACTTTCATACTGCAACGTAGGGTTAGTATCTTGCCCAGACTGCTCGATCTCCTGAGCCACAGTAGAAAACTCACAGTGAGCAGAGTGCTTGTGGTCCCTTTGTGAAAGACCTCCAACATTGTGCTACGGGGGACTATGGGGTCACAAGATAAGGGTTTTCCTGCATTGCAACACTCTACAAAAGCGCAGTAAAACAATCAACTGTTACACATTACAATAAATAACCAAGCATTGTAATTGGACTCAGCACTGAGGTGGAGTATTCTGCCACCTTGTGAGTCTGGCAGGTTGTACACTGCAGTGTAAACAAAGGCTGACAGGATCAATAACGGAGCCAGTCTTGTGTTGTGCCAATCCCAATGCAGCAGCTAGAGTTAAGGTAGCAGGAGACATCTAGACAACCTGCTAAGCTTAGATAAGCTCAGCAAAGAATCCAGATACCAGAACCTTGCAAACACAGGAACAGTGGCGAAAAGACAGACAGTGAAGTGTGCTCTAATTACACCTATATACACCAAATATGAAATAAAGAAAGGCTTTATTACATACAGTACATGTCATTATGTATTTCTGGACAAAATTAATCAAATGATAGTTTTCTTCAGGGCTATAGCCATCCTCATGCATCTCCCCTGGCTCAATGTTATCCCTCATCACATTCTCCAAGGAAGAAGCTGAAAGAACATATTGAGGCTACACTACGTACACACAAATAATGCCTGCCAACCCCCTTCATGTCACAAAACACCCCGAGTGCTTCACATAGAAAAGATTTCTCAGTCAAGTCATACATCAGGTCCAGGCAGAAGCATGTCCATGCTCATGTCTCCTAATGATGATTATGATGATGATGTCAGAGTTCATCGTGGCGCAGCGGTTCCTGGCTGGGCTGGATGAAGACACCCTCCATAGTACGCCACCAGTTGTGCTGATTGGGGGAGCTCATGCCGTGCACCTCCCGCTGTCCACGTATGGGGTGGCCATACTGTTCGCCCGTCACACTCAGGAAGACGTCTGTGCCCAAGTGTTTGAAGCGCACAGCCTCGTCGCGCTCCCAGTGAATGCCTTCACACTGAACCGTCCACACGTCCAGGTCGTCACCCTCGCCATTCTCTCCGAAAGCACTCACCTCCTGTGGATGGTGCAGAGGAGAAGGGAAGCATTTGTACCCTGGTGAACATCCACATGTGTTTAAAAGAGCAAGAGAAACAGTTGTGTGTGTCTGACCTGGTTATTAGACAGAGGAGAGCTGAAGTGGTGTGTGTGGAGGTTTCGTCCAGTCTTCATGTGTGTGATGCGAATGGCCTGGCCACATTTGATGGGAGCACCACGCAGACATGGATTGTTGGGCTTCCCACGAACCTGCCAGTAGCTGTTGGCATCATCTGCGTTCTCCACTCCAGTTACAGACTGCTGTCCACTGCCTACACACACACACACACACACACACACACACACACACAAGTGGCATCGAGGCATCATGCATTTATAGTACTTTTGATCTTGAATTATTAATTACTGTTCCACCAATGAAGCACAGAGTGCTCAGTGCATGCAAGCCTGTTAGGATTCAGCAGCCAAGTAGATAAAGACTTGTTGTTGAGCATTGTGCTCATAGAACAGGCTATATGCCCATTATATACAATTTCATTCTCAAGGTTTGCTAATATAACCAAAACCTTCTGCAGATGATCTCCAACTCTGCCCATTTACTTCAATAACAGTCTGCATTCCATCGAAATCACTAATTAGATGTTATGGCACAGCAAGAACATTACTAACCAAAATAACAACGTAAATAACGTTTCAACGTAACTTTATTATTCCATGAGTTATTTACAAGTTTCTCTTTGTTCACAGCCATTGACATGTCAAAGAGGTTAACACGTGAGGAGCGGATCACAATTGTGTTGATATCTGGTGAACGCAGTAACCGGGTCATTGCAGCAGATTTCAATGCAAGACACCCTACGAGACCACCCATCTCCCATGCTACAGTTAGCAAACTGCTTGCTAAGTTTCGCGAAACTGGTTCAGTGTTGGATTTGCCCAATATGTGGACGCAAGAAAACTGTCACTAATGAAGAAACAGCAGTGGCTGTCCTAGCTTCATTCAGCAAGAGCCCACAGCATAGCACGTCACTGGAGAGTGGCATTAGTCGAACTTCCCTTCGGCGGATATTAGCTACTCACAAATGGCACCCTTACAAACTTCAGCTACTGCAGCATCTCAACGAGGATGACCCAAATTGGCGCGCAGAATGGGCAAAACAAAAACTGGAACAGGAACCTCAGTTCACGCAGAAGATTTTGTTCAGTGATGAGGCAAACTTATGTGAATGGTGAAGTTAGCAAACAAAACCACCGCTATTGGTCTGACACTAACCCACATTGGATGGATCCCTCCAAGACTGTTGGACCAACAAAAGTGATGGTTTGGTGTGGTATATGGGGTAAAACAATAGTGGGTCCATTCTTCATCAATGGAAACCTCAAGGCCACTGGATATTTGAAATCGCTACATGATGATGTGTTTCCCTCTTTATGCACTGAAGCTGGCACGTTCCCTGAGTTTTTCCAGCAACACGGTGCACCACCACATTATGGGTGCCAGGTCCGAGCATTCCTAGATGAACAGTTTCCTGGAAAGTGGATTGGTCGCCGTGGGCCAGTTGAATGGCCCCCAAGGTCTCCTAATCTGACCCCCTTAGACTTTTATCTTTGGGGTCATCTGAAGGCAATTGTCTATGGTGTGAAGATACCAGATGTGCAGCACCTGAAACTACGAATACTGGAATGCCTGTGCTGGCATTTCTCCTGCGGTGTTGCTGTCAGTGTATGAAGAGTGGGAGAAGAGGGTTGCACTGACAATCCAACACAATGGGCAGCACATTGAACACATTTTATAAGTGGTCAGAAACTTGTAAATAACTCATGAAAGAATAAAGTTACGTTGAAACCAAGCACACCATTGTTTTTCTTGTGACATTACCAATAAGTTTGATGTGTCACATGGCCCTCTTCCTATTGAAAAAAAAACAAAAGTTGTATCCAAGATGGCCGACTTCTAAATGGCCACCATGGTCACCATCCATCTTGAAGAGTTTGCCCCCTCACATATACTAATGTGCCACAAACAGGACTTTAATATCACCAACCATTCCCATGTTATTACAGTGTATCCATATAAATGGCCCACCTTCAGTTTTCAGGCCCCTCTTCTGTGGAACCAGCGCCCAGTTTGGATTCGGGAGACAGACACTATCTCTACTTTCAAGATTAGGCTTAAAACCTTCCTTTTTGCTAAAGCATATAGTTAGGGCTGGACCAGGTGACCCTGAATCCTCCTTTAGTTATGCTGCAATAGACGTAGGCTGCTGGGGGATTCCCATGATGCATTGAGGTTTTCCTTTCCAGTCACCTCTCTCACTCACAATGTGTTAATAGACCTCTCTGCATTGAATCGTACCCGTTATTCATCTCTGCCTATTC